CTTGATCACTCCTAGAACGATCGACGACGAGGACAGCGCGGAGGCACCTCAGGGCGACGGGGGGCGCCACCGTGAAACCATCAGATACTGGTCGGACTTCAGTCGTGTCTACTATGACCGTAAGACCATTCAAATGGTTCCCCAGTCCCTGGACTGGGAGACCACGGACGGTGACTGGAAGCAGGGAGAACAGTATTTCAGGCAGTTTGATGAGGTAATTCAGTTTTTCTCGCGTGCTGTGTTTCCTATAATATCACGAAACTCCCAGGATGCTTCTCTATTGGAAGGCTCTGTTAGATTATTTCTTGAAGAGTCTGATTCCGTCCAGGTGTGTTCTAAATATCTCGTAATTTTCACAAAGTCATGTCCGGACAGGGGATACAAGTTCTAAATGATACGGCTAGCTTCGGTCCCTTCATTCACTCGCTCCTCACGGCGCTACACGATGACATGCTGAAGATCCCATGCCTAGCCTTTCCTTTGCTCTCGCATTCAAATGGATGGGATATTGATGTCGAAGACGTATGAAATCTCCCACATAACAGCTTCTTTTCTGTGAACACTTTTTTTCAGCGTAGAGGAGCGAGAAGATTGATCAATGACGCGATCTATCTGCGCGGACTAAGCGAGACCGCGTCTCTCACAGTTCCCATACAATCCCCTTCTGTGTGGGCCCGTTACGAAGTCTCACCGCAGCTGAAAACTGAAGTGGGCATTTACTTCTACAATACCTCGGTTAGGACAAAAATTCACTTCCATTATGTCGCAGAATGATCTTTACCATACATCCGGAATAATTTCCGCACACATCGAAAGCTCGACTCTTCCGTTGAGGTAAGAGAGTTTGATCACCAGACCCCACAGCAACTCTAACTCTACCGGCGTGACTGATCAGGTTGGCCAAAACTGCGGATGACATATCCAGCTTCTGCTCTCAACTGAACCTCCGTGGATCTCCCTACGCCGAGATATGCGGAATTACGGACATTACATCGACCGAACAGGACCTGAAAAGCAATATATTCAACTTTTCCAACATGGAGAGATTCGATGTAAGGAACAATGTTCTTTGGAACGAATCGCTGACCAACTTTACTGCAGACTCGTCGTCAGTTCTCCCGCCGCGATGTAACACGAGGCTTTACAACCCACAGTATCGGGGCATATGACCAGTGGTCCGCGCGGTCGTCCCTGCACGACATGTTTATCACACGGTAAACTTGTTTTTCTTGCCAGCGCTTGGTTCATATCAACCTTACTCTGCGACAGCACGCATGCGCCTGCGTACCCAGCACCACCGGCATTCGTGCCCTTCCTTAGGCCCAATAACCCCTTATCTTGGTCACGTTCCGGTCCCACGCCCGTCGAAATGTTCTCTTCGGTTTCAACATCTAGCGGTACTGCGCGTATGTTTGCCGACTACGCCAAATTTGTCGACTCAACGCTCCGAAGACGGACCCTGGGAATTGTTTCTGATGAAACGGACGATCTTAAGGAGCTAGCTAACGACCTGTGGACGGTCCATGACAATTTCTCAGCGGATGGTGATGAGGAGTCCGTGAAGTCTGGCCCGGACTCTAGCCTTGGCGAAGACGAGGAGCTGTGAATAACAGCGGTAACCCACATGTGTACGAATTTTTGCAGTGAGTAGTCCCAATTCGTTCACATGGCCCCGACAATTTTCACCAACATGTACATAAGAAGAACAACCTTCGCTTAATGACCGTTGTATGTCAGTGATGGCTTTCCCCGGTAATACACACACAAGTTTTTTGCTGCCCCTTGGCTCTCGACTCGCATGTAGCCGGTACATGGCATCAAGACAGATACGAGGTACATCCGCTTTAACTGATCCAAATCTCCAACCAGTTTTCTGCCATCAGAATAGCAAACGGTCACCTCCCAATCGCCCTCTCATGGATAGGTCCCGCTGGTAGCGTTCCTATCCCTATTGATTTCTCAACCTTGCGCTTACCCTTCGCATCCCTGGAAGTTGCGTGCGTTCTTCGGGTCCTAGGAACCAAAACCCTCCGAGTCGAGGCGTCCTCAGCTAATTTGAAAGATCGCTCGGGAGAAGTATGGTTTCCGGGTGTGCTGTGCAGTGTTTCTTTTCTGAGCCGCAGTATGGGCGGGGCGGGTGGTGGGGCAGCAGGCCCGAATCTAAGTCTGTATGTCCCTGGCCCGAACCATGGAAGTGGGATATGCCCGGCACCTCTTGTCTGAGAAATGAGCAACGGCGATCTGGGCCAGTGAATGAATGGGATGGATGCCTGAAGAAGACGTTGCCTATCAGGTGGGGACGATTTTTCGACAGCGAGTTCCTCCAGTGACAGAAGGGCAGCTCGGGATGTGCACTATCCGTGGCGGACCGTTATGGCCCGGTACGTATTCAAGGGCCACCAGGCAATATGCCTTAAGCAATAATGACGAATGTATTGGACGCACGCTTCTACGCACGTCGGAAAATGGCATTAACCCGTTGGTCCGCCTATGGTGTCAAAATAGGACTCACCAATGTGACCTGATCCTGTTCTTCGAAAGACACCCAAAGATATCGCAAAGGGTTAAAATCGCATATATATAAGTCCGGATTGAATAAGTGGTATATGTCCCAGGAAAGAGAAAAAATGTAAATGCGGTAAACAAAAAAGGTATGATAAATATCATAACATATGAATAGAAACAGTCCAACCAACTACGACGGCGAATAATCTACAGCATTTGATTGGATACAGTAAGCATACTACATAAGTTATACAGGATCAGCTCTGGCGGAGCGCCTAGTCGACAACAGCTGCGGCAATGTGACGTTTTGGAGGGTCCTTGATGAATATATTGTCGCCTTTAATATTCAGGAACGAGTACTGTTTGGAACTATTAACTCTGATAGCCAAAGGAGGAATTCAGAGTTCACTCACCTCCGCGAGATCAGTGTTGCTTTGTTTGTTGTAGTTCTGATATACCAGATTGGGCTAGAGAAAATAGTCAGTGAGTTTTAGGCTACGCATGCCCTGAAGATTGAGACTAGGCTCCGAAGCACGTCGCATGACACGTTGGGGGCCTAGTCAAATCCTACGGCGACAGTATGTCAAGGCGAACCTCAGTCCAGAAAGGTCGGAGACCCGCAGCCTCAAGAGTCTCCCACCACGTCAAGAATTCGGCGAACTGCTTGCCCCATATGTGAATTTCGAGCTGAAGCTGGCCAAACGGAAGCGGCTTGTCAGCGTGCAAGTACGGCCCGATGAGAGTAGTCAACGTTTCAAACTCCCATCCCTCCACGTCAATCTTGAGGATGTCGATGTGGCTATGTCCTAATATGTTAGGTAAGTGCCTGTCAATGCAAAAGAATGGGGGGAAGGAACCGACCATTCATTGCCATAATGCTTTCGAGGGTAAACATAGGAGGCGAATCATCTGTCGCGGCCTTGTCGCTACCTGCCAAACCATATGGGAAGAAATGGGTACGCGACGCCAGGGACCGTGGTATTTGAGGGCCAAATGACTTGACACTGTAATCATAACCCCAGATCTCGCAATGCCGGGTATTGGCGAGGATTTCCGCCTCGAATGAAGACTCGTAATTGATACCTGCGGTAATTATAGATGGCGAAATCCGGAAGGAAGGTATGACAACGCACCAACAGAATAAATAACACAGTTAGGCTTCTCTTGCACACGGGACAACCCACAGACCCACTTTCCGCCATCTCCAAGTGCGCCAAGTCGTTCTACCTCGTGTGGGCAATTATACGAGGCTGGGAAAAAGTCCCCTAGAACATCGGACTAGATTGAGCACGGTACTGACGGGGGGCATTTGGACACATACAGACGGTATAAGCTGGCCAAGGATCCTTATCAGGAGGAAACCTGGTGGATGTGAGATCAATATTTGAGTTCAAAAGCAAGTGCTTACATCAAAACTTCATTCGGAGTCGGGCCGAAAGTTCGTATGAGTCCTTTTCGATCCCGGAGGGTCTTTTCGTAAATAGCATCTGCTCGTGCCAGCCTAGCTGGCAGATCCGAATCGCGAACGAATGAGTAGGTAGAGATTGTCGGGGCCGTCTCGTAAGGGTTCAGCAGGTATAGGGTGGCGGCCAGCACAACCAACACGAAAAGTGAATAACGCGGGTGACGGGTCCAGACGCCAGGCATGGTGAGTGCTGCTGATATCAAGGCAAGGAACTGGTAGCAGTCGCCGTCGTTGTCGTCGTCGATGGGCAGAGAGATGAGAAAAGCCTTACCGACAGTCTTCGTGGTGGGAAAGGAACAGGAAATGGAGGAACAGGAGTCGTGGATCATTGAGTTTGTCTTTGCTTGGTCGCATCAATTCCTAAATTAGGTTTCCATCCGTTGCAATGTACCGTCCCCTTCACCTTCAGAATGAGTAATTGGTTAATGTTCATCTTATTCAATGACTTCTGGATGTCTCTTCTCACTCATTTCGATGAATATTCAAACAACTTTCTTATCATGATATTTTCGTTTGAAATTTGCTGAAATAGACATGTGGCTGCCATCGCAAATGGAAGCAAATGGAGCGCTCCACAAAGTCCATGCCAAGACCATGATACGCAATCAATCACGTTACAGTAACGCCAGCGGGATAGATATAATACTTAGGATTATCCTGCTTGACGTCATTCCTTCAGAGGCACAAATTTGAGCAAAGGTAGAGAAAATTATCGTCAGGATAAGCTTGGAATTGATGTCAACCTTTGCTTCATCGGTAATTTTTTCCAAAGGTAGTGGACGCTGCGACACATTGACTCTCCATTAACATAACTTCCACACGGAAGAGATATTTGTTCTTATTCAACACTAGGACGAAAAATAAGCCCAGTCCCTGCTACACATAGGCATGTTAAGTGTTCATTGATCAGTGCTCACCGCTTACCACTGAATACTGAATGCGAAATGCGGGTAGTTACGACATCACAATGATCACATTCTCGATTCTCGACTTCGATGTACAAGCAAAAACTGACTAGCCAGTTGCACATTGACCGAGACAGGGGTCGAACCTGCAATCTCCTGATTCGTAGTCAGATGCGTTGCCATTACGCCACACGGCCATGGACAACGATTAACGGTGTGCTTTCACGTCCGTAGAAATTGACAGCTAGGATAAAACCGTGAAAATCGACTTGCTAAGAATTTTATAACAACACAATATGCAACTTGTACATAAGAGAGTATACGTTTTCTTATACAAGAGTTTCGGTTATCCAGAGAAAACGACTGGACCAGGAACCTAAAGTGAAAAGCCTTCGGTTGGTCGCAAACTACAGAAATAGACCGCGTTCTTACTGTATATGCCGTAGGCACAGGGTAGTAGATGTTCACGGTCAGGCCCGGATCTATGTAATATTCAGGTTCAGGGATAATTTCATACTTGTGAGAGGAGACCTCACCGTTAGAGGAAACGTAACCTGGTATCGACACCTTGGATGGACTCGCTGACCCTCCCCCGGTAACGGAGATTTGGGCACAAGAAATGTACCACTGAGGTGCACCCACAACATGCAGCCCGATCTTGTAAGCGATATAATGAATCACGAACATTGAAACGTTGAACTGGGAGAACTGACCTGTTCAATCCGGACGAGATACTAACAGAAGCCAGGTAAAATTATCCAAGAATTCAGCAATATTCATAACTTACTTCACCGGCTGGAATGTCCGAGGGAAGCGTCGTAGTTAACTGACTAAGGCCGTAGTCCGTGAAAGTGAACGGGTTAAATGATGCACCCCATTCCGCAATCTGTTCGCGCCGCTCGTTAACACAAAGTAGATAAACTAATTCCATTCCATACCTTGAACCAATTCGCACCGGACCCATCCCAGGCTGCGGCGGTAGTAGGAGCTTTACCTAGATAAATTGCTGCCGGACCTTGGTGATAAATGGTATTGTCCAGTATAAACCCAATGGTGCTTCCCGCAGCGACGGAGACCGTTTCAGTAGCAGGGGAAGGGTCGACGTTGCAGGTAATGTCGGCCGACTCGACATTTGTCACCGGGGAGTTGTTCTGTGGCATACGGACTGCCCCGGTGGACTGGGTGCTCCCTGCGATGAGCGTCGTCCAAATATCTATGATGCGGTCGGTAAAAGTAAGGAGACGAAGGAAGATCGGAGACTCACAGTGCGCGGAAACACTCTGAGATAGGATGGACAGTGACAGGAGGGCTGAGACAAACTTCATCGTTGTGCTGCGATGTAACAGCAGGAGAGCTCTGGTTTGCTTTAAATACGCCCATAGACTGCACTAGTAGTCACGCTCATTTTCAGAGTATAATCCGAGAGCTCCAAGGACGGAGAAGGCGCGGGTAATAAGCTGAGTTTATGCCACAAGGATTGCGGTCTTGTGCGCGAAACCGGAGATACTCAAATTTCGTCATTGGACCAGGAAAGTTGCTTTCGTGCTGGGCGAAGTTGAGTCTCAACGAACTTAGGTGAGTCCCAGTCCTTGACTAGCCATGAGTGTGAAGCCAAAAGTTATTCAAATCGCTCACTCACAAAAAAAGCGATGACTCTCGAATGAATATCATGACCTTTCTGAATGACCATCACCACATCATTTGACCGAAGGCCCGGCGAAGAAACCTGCTAACAAAACCGAATATCTTCCTCATCTCTACAAAGTTGCGGATAATACCGTCCAAATGACGCTTGTTGATCGGCCACAAGACGCTCCCACGGGAAAATAATTTGACCGACTTGATTTCTCTGGTTGACTGCCACTCGGAGCACTCATACTCGATCAGGTAAATCTCATATTTCCTTGGGACTCGCACGATACTCGGCCGTTGAATACCGCCAATCTACAAATTTCATTGCTTCCTGATCATCCACTCAAAACGGAATTCTGGTACCTGAGGGTCATTTAGACGGTACCGACAGCCAATAGAAAAAGCATACCGTATAGGACGTAAAGGCAGGTTCACCATAAGTGATGGATCTATATATAACGTACATTTTTTTAGTGTGAGTGCGTGCGCAGTTAACTAACCACCAGGAGAAAGATAAGCTAGAATAGAAATCATAGCAAGACACACGCACCCTCCACCCGTAACCTTTATTTGGGCGCAGGAAATGGAAAACTCGAGAGCGCAAGGGATGTGAATTCTGATTTAAATGGATCTCGGACTCAATGATAAACCATGCCGTAGTCAGGTAACCAATCTAGCGAGGTACTGGTAGACATCGTGAGTTTCAGTGAGAAAAGATCCATATAATGAACGTACCTCTCTAATCTGATGGAAAAGTGGTCTTGAATTGTATCACCCTTTAATCCGTGAACGACAATGGATCAAAATTTGCGCCCCATTTTGCAATCTATGTCTGATGATCAGCATCGAGCCTCTTCCATTTGCCCGCCAAATGCCTGCGGCATACCTTAAACCATCGCTCGCCACTCCCATCCAATTCTGCTACCGATCCCGGGACCTGTACTAAATATATAGCGGCAGGACAACGATGATTATTGTTGCAATTGAATCCAAGGGTGCTCCCGGCGGCGACGGTAACAGTTGCGGGTGGAATTTAGATTGCAGCCAATATCCTGGGATGTCATTCCGCACGGGATCGTTGCTCAAGGTCGTAAGTACGTACTACGACGGAAGAAATTGTGCTACCTGCAATGACGCGATATCTAGGAGAAAATAGATGGATCAGATATGGAACGGCAGCAAAATGTGGAAAACGGACAATGAGAAACAGATAGCGAGCGTTGCAGGAAGAGCGCCGGAGAGAGATACGCACGAGAACTGCATGTTGGAGAGATGTTGATCAAGAAATTTTGTGTTCTTTTGATAATGCCAATCGGGGAAAAGGTGTATTTCGCGATTGCATACTTAGAACGCGTACCACACGATGTCGGAGAAATAGCTCGCTTTCGCTTTCGCGTTCACCATGACGTTTAACGTGTCGAGATAAATCCATTAATGGGTAACTTTTAGCATGATATGATCTCCTGACATTTCCTAGTTGTAGTTTTATGCTTCGCGTGATTCAGATATGAGCGTATAGCATGGAAACGATATGGAGCAATACAATACTAACATCGGGCTCTCAAGACAGGTCGGAACCGCGAATTAAAGGGGGTAAGGCGCCAGTTTTTGCCGAGTGGCAGGAGGGAGCACCAAAGGAATCCACGAAAGGCATGGTATTGGATATTCGATCGCTCACATCAGCCCATATCATTGGCCTGCAGGATTGGAAAGTGGCGAGATGGCAGTAAGTGAATAGGGTCGGATCTTCGGCCCGAAGTCCAACCCTGTGGCTTAGGGGTCATATTTGACACGTGAGCACTACGCGTATAGTTGAATCCCACACCTCTTTCTTCCCTTCACCCACATCACCGTCACCCACGCGCGTATCGACGCGCATTATGCTGCACCAGGGGCAACTCAACTCTTCTTTCTGGAACACAGGAAGATATCTCCACCATCGTTCTCGGCATGGCTGAACGATTGACGATGGGAACCGTTCAAGTTTGTTAGTGCATACATCGTCTAATAATCGGTTTTTTCTGACGCAACGCATATTCCAGATTGTTCAAAGTTATGGCTAGCATTTTCCGGGTTGAGGTTCGTTTATTTTCATGGGACTACTGCATCTATTCAATACCGTATAGATCCAGGCTACTCATGTGGCGCGACATTGAGGCATTTTATCTCTTTGATGTGGTATATTGACCAAAAGCCCCTGAAAATTGGTGCATATATGCGTATTCTTGGAGTCATATAAACCTTGCGAACGAGAAGTATGTGTTTTACTCTGTCTCCACACAAATCTATCGAAGTTTGACAATAAGAATAGCTCGACGCTGTCCCCTTATATTAGCAGCGATTAACGGACAAAAATCCCACTATACCGACGTCTCCTTTATCATACACCACAGAAAGCGAACCTTGAAAACAACACAACCGTTCATACCTTACCCATCATTCTCCTTCCCTCTTCGATCTTACTCTCGTTATTCCCTAACTTTCCCGAAAGAACCTTAACCTCACCCTTAACCTTGTCCATGAATTTGGGTTTCTTCCCGACACTTCCATTACTATCGATGTCGTTAGAAATCTGAGGCGTAACAGCGGATTTCTCAACGAACTTTGAGCCATTGGAACTCGTACTACGCCCAGTTTCAGTGGCAGCCAAATTATCGCTCGCTGTGATGGGCGGTAAAGGTGCCGGCTCCCTGTGTAAACCCTAGCAACAAATGAGGTCTCGTACTGGTTTAGATAAAGGACGGCATACAGTTGGAGACGATCGGTCTAACAGTGTGTCAAATTTATCTTGCTCATGAGCAGGCGGCGTTGTATGCACTGGTGTGATACCTGGTGGGGAAACAGGAGGACCAGTCTATCCTGCATCAGCACCCTGGAACGCGCGCTGTGTTAACATGTACTCACTTCATCTCCACCTGACTTTCGAAGTTCTTTGTTCCGCTCCTCTGGCAACATTGCGACGTTTTCCTCTGAGGGAGGACCAGGCAGGTCGCCCACGCCCCTTGTTTTCGTGTTTGCAGTCGGCGTAACGATGGGCGGTGTAGATATCTGACTGCCACTCCCTGGTTGTGTCATTGTGCTCAGCTCGGAGATCGATGGAGCCTCGGAGTCGCTCCGTGTAGGCGGGTTCAAAGCAGGATTCGTAGCAGGAGTCAACACGGATGTGTTCGAAGGTGGTTCGGCGCTGGCCTCTTTCGTCTCTTTGCCATGTTCGTCACTACGAGGAACAGCAACGACCTCCTTTTCCGTACCCTCTGCGGCGGAACTGTTTTCAGTTGACTTTGGATCGGCTGAAAGTTTGTCAAATACCGTACTCGTCTTGGTGAAAACGGTACTCACGGAAATACGAGACCACAGCCTGGGGTAAATACTGCTTTGCCGTCTCTGTGGCATTGGATAACGCTTTTCCAACGTCTTCTTGGCCTGGGATATACTGCTTTGCCGTCTCCAGAATCCCTCCTCCCCCAGAAACAGTTCCTTCAACGGCTTTCTCTTCTGATCCTCCAGGATACGCTCCTGGAAAATCATGCCCTGGTGTTGACGCAGATGACGGCAGTGCTGGAGTTAGGGGCTTCTGCGACCCCAGTGCTGACGTTGTCTCGTCGGCCCATTGATGCGACGGCGTCTGGGTACCAAGAACAGGCGGGATCTGTGTGGTAGTATTATCCATTGATGTTTGATGGAAGTGATGTTTAAGTGACGTCCTTCTTAGACCCCATTTTATAGGGCATCCCTTTGGCTCCCAGCCCAACTTCAGTGGTGAGATGACGTCGGGTTCGCGTGATGTCATCTTGGTGACCATCTGGTCTCCAACTCGTCATTTAGGCCGTATTTGGATGCCGACGTCCAGCACGATAGGAAATGAGTTCAAGTTATCCATCTGGAAAAGTCATTGCAGACAGAAAGCGATGTCAGGACCTAACACGATCTCTGTGAGATCAGCGCAAGGGACCTACATAGCTCCTGGCATTGTACCTAGTGAGTTCTATGACATATATCACCTTGACCATAATGTTGATTGATGCTGAAGGTCCTACCATTGTCTTTCCATCAATGACGAAGGAAGGCTTGAGGCATCACTTGCTCACCTATGCCTATATCTTCGTCTTCCATTTTACTTGCACACTTGTAACTTGAAGAAGCGGGCACATTTCCCTGAGGGATCCGTTCGCATTGGACGTCACAGACAGAACTTCCCGCCAGTAGTTCGCATGGCGTATAAATCTCCATTTCAGTTTACACGGTGTTCTTCCGACTGGGACGACCGAAAGATGGACAAGTCATTTTCGAAGGCCTGGGCTTTATCAAAATGTTTCTCGTCAGACAGAGCTGATGTGAGATCAACCTGTTTGTGGAGGTTTTACACATCGTCCGACCCGCGATCCATTGTAAAACGACCAATCTTTACGTCGGAGAGAAGGGAGGTTCTTTCATTCGGGAATAAAGCTGTCAGAGCGCCAGGAGGGTCTGGACCCGAACTCAAGAAGATGCTTATCGTCACTCTCGCGTCAAGGAAGGCGGTGATCTCAGTAAATGGTATCTGGACAGAGATCATTGTCCCAGTTTTCAGGATCTCTTGCGCATTCCATCTCAGATCCCCATGCGAACACTGAGCGCATGTCTTTCGATGTTTCGACTGACAGGAAATCGTGTTCTGTCACTGGCTTATGACAGTCGGTTTTCGAGTTCGTTTCTGCATGGGGGGAAACATGCAGCGTCTAATCCACAGTCCAGATATGCTTGGTAGTCCCAGCGTCTCATGGCCGTGTGGCGTAATGGCAACGCGTCTGACTACGATTTGGAATCAGGAGATTGCAGGTTCGACCCCTGTCTCGGTCATCATAGTGGGACATATTTCTGTTTTGCCTCCAAAATTTAGGATAGCGCATGGAAGTTACAAGTAACCATTGAGCACTCAAGTTTAAAGTTAAGCCTACTGGGAGGGCTGGTTTCAAATGTTCTGCTACGGTTACTTACTATTAACGTGCGAGTGCGTTTTATACTTTTTTTCTCTTTCAGGCTGTTATGCATTAGACGTGCTATATATATCCAACTCTGTGTCGTACAAATAATATATATATATAGCTGTCATTAACTTAATTTTTAAAGTAATTGACCTGAGTGCATCGAAACCTAGGTTTCGTGCGCTGCTGGACCCCCCGTACCACGTAGCCTGTAGGGCTGTAACCCGCTAGGGTTGCGCACCAATCCCCAAGGATCATCAGTAATGTACTTCGACAAGCGGGGCGTGTTTTGAGCCCAATACAATGTTCTGAAAACGACCGTATGATTTCTATCGATTCACACCCAACAAGAGAGGTCATACACAATACAATTGCCATAGTCGGATAAACCCATGATAGGCAAAGCAATCCATGAATTGACCGTTCGCGAGACCCAACGTTGTTCGACCTCTAAAGTTCTTATTCTAGTTCATCAGGGTCTTCTCCAACACAGTAAAGCGCCCTATTCGGCTGCGAGCTCAGGAAGCCATCTTTGCCACCTTCAGATATGGTTCCGAGAATACAGAAGGAAGGCGGAAGCGACGACTTCACAAGCACAAGTGACAGAAATCTTGACAATAGATCTCTGCTGCGCACCAAGCAAGATCCATTGAGTCGGACAATCTGTGGAGCTGCACTTACGGGATCATTCTTGGCGATCAACGTCATCGTATTCCCAAAGCTATGCAAGGCTCATCAAACGACGGTCGGCTTCATATCCACGAGGAGCGGTCTCGTACCCACTCAGCCGACAGTCGTGCAGGACACCGTAAAGCATGAAAGTTCATTAATGAGTCGTGCACATGCGCGTGACAACCCTCCACGACCCAAGAGTATTACACCTTGTCTTCCACGTCCCTCCTCTTTCCATTGTTCGGAGCCAAAGTTGGGTCGGCAGGTGGATGTACGACAGGAACTTCAGCCGTGCCAAGCTCGATGTGCGGTATCTGCCCTTCCTTCTCCCCATGTTTCAGTGACGGCATAGCGATAAGCATCGATACGCGTAGCGGCCCAGTAGCATCGGTCCCCACTACCTGGGGGCCAGCAGGAGGCGAACCCTTGATAAGCGCCCATATACGTGCACGCAAAGGATCTTGCTGCTGCGGTGGAGTTAGAGACGACACATCTCGAGTGTATGACACAGCAAAAGGCTATGGAGATACGCGTGAGCTAATTATAGAACCGGCGAATCACGATGGGGTCGTACTTTGCATGTTTCCCAGTCGTGATGTTCGTTGCCGACGTTCTTCATCGTTGTTTCGTGCAAGATGGGCTTGGGGGGCTTCCCGTTAGGCGCTACCCAGGTCCCGTTCCGAATGGCCTCCTCCATGATGCGTCGTTGGTGTCGACGACGCATGATAGCTCGCGTCACGATGGCTGCTGAGATGGCAAGCAATAGCAACAGCACTCCTGTTGATGGTTAATTTTGCTTGGTCGGCGATATTTTGTCCATTCGAACGAACCTAGGAAGGTATACACTGGTCTGGCCATCACGCAGGATTCCTGTCATCGTAAAGAAGACTTACAGTATACAGAGGCAGATGTACCACCACCCCCATCTCTACTAGGCCCGTTGTTGCCCCCGCGATCGCCGCCACCATTGCGGCCAGGTCCTCTAGTAAATGTTGGATTCGGGTCAAAGCTGGCGAACGTCGATGAAGATGAGAGGGACGTCAGCGTGGAGGATTCGGTAGTGCTCGTTGTAAGAGACGACATGGTAGCGCGAAGCCAGGATGTTTAGTGCCTGTTGACCCACATATAAGATATATCATTTCGTGAGATGGGTTGCATTGATGGAGATAATGTGGGCTTACCTTGGCAGTACTTAGCAACTTAGCTGAGACGCAGTATTACCTGAAGTGATGATACCGGAACGCGGATTCACAGTAAATAGATGTCGGGTCAAAGCAAAGGCCTCCGCCGTAGAATTAGTAAGACTGGGTCGTCTCCCAGGATTCATGATCTTGGTACTATTTCGAGGTCGCAAGAGAGAGCGATACCAAATTGCCACGTTGATGCAATGTTCCGTAATTAAAACGCCACAACAAGCCTCCCTGAAAGCACTTGGCTGGCTCTAAGTGGGCCAAGAAACGGACAATGAATGCTAGTGCTGCGCACCATGGCATCTAGCACAGGATTACTACCGAAATCTCAATAAAAGCAAACTCCGTACTCACCCAAAGTGCGGCAAATAACATAGCCCATGCAGTCCTGAGCGTAATCTGAAAAGGTGTGTCTTCGAAATCATGCGGCTTCGATACCCTCTGTCACAGGACAACCGTGCAGGCAGTGGCAAACGGCCGAGCTCTTACATCACAGTAAACAGCATTTAGAAGTCATGGGCGACTTGTAAAAAGCTGCAGCGTGCAGATGAGCTGGGATGTGTTCAATTGACCTGGGTTAAACGATTCATGCTACGAAATCACTGACCGAATATCCAATTATGACAGCTAGGAGAGCAACTTGTGGTTTATCACGTTCCCCTCATTTTCATCTGAACTGATTTTGGAAGGCAGCAAGCGGCGAAACGAACGCCAACGATGTTTATACGGGCGGACAAAGGCGGCAAGGTACTACGGGGATATGACTGTCGGAGTCAGAAAATGCAACACCCATTTCGGCCGATACAACCCGGAGGTGTGTTTGGGCATAAGATTTTACCGCGTCCCCTCAAACTTGTTCCCATTCTGCTTCATTCCGGGGAAGGAAGCGATCGGTCCAAATTTATGTAACTTCTGCTCGATTCTGTTGGTGGATCGCGACGTTTGCAGGATATTCTGACCAGTTGTGGGTTTCGGTTTTTTTCTGATATCTAAATGTGTTGGGAACAGACGCAAAGAACGTAACGGATATGGCTCGAACAATCGTATATTCGCGAACAGATATGTAGATGGTATGAAAATTAAGATGAAGTTAGACAATGACGGCGTGGCCGCACCTGCCGCAACTCGGCTCGGCTGTATATGGTACCTCGGCATATCCGGCCGGATTCATGCCGAGAAACGGCAACATTAGTTCTACTCAGGATGAGTTCGGGACATAAGCAAGGCACTTCGAGAAAATCCAAACGGAACAAAAGACGCACATTGCTTGAGGGAGGCACGAAAATTGGAGATGCATTGACTAAGTTTCGGCATTAGTGCCATTTGTGAATATCCGGTGTGCCGTTGTGTGGCATAGGCGGACCTATATACAGTGGGATGGAACCTTGTGAAATAATTGCAACATTCTAGGGTGCATCAGTAGGAAGCTAACGAAGCGCAGGAATACTGATATCTATGTTATCTGTGGCCTGTTTCCTGTCTCCTGGGGTGGGGGTCCATAGAGAAACACCCAATCTGAGGGTTCTCTGACTCCTCCGAGAGAATGCCGAAGATACCCCGGCATGTTCTCAGATTGTCGCGCGTCTTTGGATTTACGACTTGTTTGGAAAGGCTTTTATTTCCCTAACTGCCTGCTGTGGAGTATAGAAGAATAGAAGTATTGCTGGGCAAGTCATTCCTACCATCTGGTCAACATCTAGTCCGGTTTCAGCCCCAAGGGAGTTTCCCACCATCACTAGGGCTACTGCTGTGTGCGCACCTTTTCTTTTTCAACTTAAGCATTTTTTAATTGCTACTGCCAGTAATCTAAGTAATATAGGGCCATGAGAACGTAGCAGCTCGAATATCTAACAGAAACGTGGGATTGATCTGACGAGGCTGTGTAGATCCTATTGAGGGGAAGGATGGAACCGACGAGATACCTGGTAAAAATTGAAGTGACAAGTAGACTGGCATCGCCTACATCACAATGGACCTGGAACTAAATTCTTCTAATTCCTCGGAACTGACAGGTCACTGATTCGGATGGGTAACAGCGTCTGTAGCCATCACAGGATGCATGGAAGACTGTGTTAGTATCAAATGGAAGGGCGGCCATCTATCTCATCTCGGCTCAGATCATCCTTTGCGTACAGGCTGACATTATTGTACTTACAATACCACCATATTGGAGTCTTGAGCAGTAGGTACTCAGTGCACATGATCTGTTTTATGACACTATTCAGACGAGTTCTTCTGTCCGTCGTGTAATCGATCGTCTTGCCTCACAATCAAGAGGTTGGCTCCCGTAATGGATTCAACTTCCGAGACAGATCGGTTACACGATCATACGTCTCTATCAAACTGTATGCAACCACTGCATCTATTTGGTTCCTTGTGTCCCACACTGGCATGTGCAATCTGCCAGCTCGTGTGAGGCATGATGCGGATCATATATTCTGCTTTACCACCCACTCACCGCCTCCCACCTAGGCGGATAGGAGTGACGGTGCTTCAAGTCTGCATCTAGACTCTTCTAGCTTAGTCTGTATATTGGAGAAGTATCACTCTTTGAAGAGTTTGCGTTGGCCAGGCCCTGCCAGCTGACTCCATCGATACATCATTACTCAGTAGTCCCGGGTAAGCATTTTCATCACTTCAATTTATGCGCCGGAGGCCACGGAATTGCCTCCATCGAATACAGTACATGTAATACGTCTGCATAAACACGATCGAGAAAATAGGAGTTCGCCGTCGGAGCGTCATCAGCTCGGAGTCGTCCGGATCCTACTAGCCCTTCTCAAGGGTTCGTAAACGGTGATTGCTCAAAGAGGCCATGTAGGAAGGCCGTTATCTCTGATCCCAATTGAGTTCATTCCAAAGGTCTTCTGTGAGCTAGAAGAGCAACAGAAGGGGGAAATTTTTCTCAGATTAGATTAGATATTGAGTGATCCGAGACCTTGTGATGTCAGTGCGGGGCGGCCCAACCGGCGGCTTATTATTGACGTGCTTGTCAACCACGACATTCCTTCTT